CCGCTCAGATGTTTCCGCTCCCATTGGCTCAGACACGCGTCAGTCACGGCCGGCCCCGCCCCGACGCTCCCTGGAGGGCTCCGGAGGGGCGGGGCCAACGGAGCGGGCGGTATGGACTACAACTCCCGGCGTGCACTGCGGCGAGCGGGGCATGATGGGATGTGCCGGGGCTGCGCACGGTGGGGGGAGAGGGGGAGCTGGGGGGATCCAGGGATTGGGGGGATCCAGGGATTGGGGGGTATCCAAGTGTCATCCAGGTGTGTGTGGGAGCACCCAGCTGTGGGGAGGCATCCAGGTGGGTGGGCATCCACTTATGGGGGGTATCCAGGTGTGCGGTGGGCATCTAGGGGGGCACCCGGGTGTTGGGGACACCCAGGTATGAGGAGGGCCCGGGTGTGGGTTTTGGGGGGGTTGGAAGTGTGTGCACCCCACTGCTGTGGGGGGCAGGGGGCACCCAGTGAGGGCTGGCCTGGGCAGGTGACATCCAGCGTGTCCCCAGGGATGGTGCCAGCCAGGGGATGCCAGGCTGGGCCTGTCCCCAGGAAGGGCTGTGACACCAGTAACCACTCGTGGCCTTGCTCCATCCAAATCCCTTGGCACTGGCATCGCATCTGTGAGCAACCACTCCCAGGCCCGATCCCGGCAGATTCCCAGTGGGAAGGTGTGGAGGATCCTTTCCCTGCCCTAATTGCTGACAAGTCCCTGTGCCCAGCACAGCATCCTGCTCCTCTTTTCAGAGCTGCGCATTCCATTAGTGATGTTCCCAGCCTGGCTGTTCCCAATGAATCCCATCTAAACTGCCCTGGGTCCCCCAGCCCAGGGAGCACTGGGGATGCCCCTCAGCCTGCAGGGAGACTGAGGCCCCCCAGGCTCCTTCCCTCTGGTGAGTCAGCTCCTGCTCCTCCTGCTCCTCTTCCTCCTCCTGCTCTGCTCCCTGGCCTGTGCTCCTCATGTTGCAGCAGCAGCACTGAGACTTCTTGCTTTTATGAAATATTAATTGCTGCCCAAACCTGTCCTTTCCAGCAGGGCTGATTCCCTTTTCCCCCACAGGGATTGCTGTGCTGTTGACCAGCTGGCCAGGACAGCACTGCCAAGGGTGTTGGATACCCCCCACCAGTGACTCCTCTGGCAAAGATCCCCCAAAAGTGGGGCTGCCAAAGGAGTATCTGTAAAACGGGCTGGAGTGGGGTGGGCTGAGAGCAGGCAAAGGGCAGCTGGCAAAGGCCAAGGGGCTCCACCAGCCTGGCCGGGCAGCCACCAGCACGGCCCACCCTCAGTGTGATGGACTGGAAACGTGCAGTGCCTGGGCAGCAGTGAATCCATCAGTCCTCAGCTGGCTGAGACACAGCTCTGGGCACCAGGATGCCCATCTGAGCACCAACAGCATGGCTGGACCCCAGTGCCCCACAGCTCTGGGTACAAGGGCCCCTCCTGTGCCCTGTCCCTGCTCCTCAGGGGCTCTGAACCTGCCCAGCCTGGGGAGGGCAGGCCATGGAATCACAGACATGTTTCAGTTGGAAAGGACCTTAATACCATCTTAATCCAACTCCCTGCCATGGGCAGGGACACCTTCCACTAGCCCAGGTGAATCCAAGCCCTGGTCCAACCTGGCCTTGGACACTTCCAGGGATGGGGCAGCCACAGCTTCTCTGGGCAACCTGTGCCAGGGCCTCCCCACCCTCACAGCCAACAATTCCTTCCCAATATCCCATCTAACCCTGTCCTCTGGCAGTGGGAAGCCATTCCCCCTTGGCCTGCCCCTCCATCCCTTGTCCCAAGTCCCTCTCCAGCTCTCCTGGAGCCCCTTTAGGCCCTGGAAGGGGCTCTCAGGTCTCCCTGGAGCCTTCTCTTCTCCAGGCGAACCCCCCCAGCTCTCCCAGCCTGGCTCCAGAGCAGAGGGGCTCCAGCCCTCAGAGCATCTTCGTGGCCTCCTCTGGACTCGTTCCAGAGCCCCTCCCTCGTGCTCACTGGGTGAGGGGAGATGGCAGAGCTCTGGGGTGGGGGCTGTGCCCCCCTTTGGTGGTGCCAGCCTGGCTCCCCCTCCTCTCCCACAGCCTGAGGGCTTGAGCTCATGTGCTGCCTTGGAGCCACGTGGTGTGAACTCCTTTAGGGGTGCTTTGGTGAGGGGTTTGTATCCCCGTGGGCTGAGGGATGCTCACACTCAGCACTCCTCAGTTTGGCTTCTGCACGTGGCAGGGGCCAAACACAGCCCCCTCCATCCCCTCACCCACCTCCCAAACAGCCCAGCTCCCACAGCCACTGCTAAAGCAAAACGAAATGGCAGATTAAGCAAACCAAAATAGCAGACAGAGTTAATGGAAATAGCAGATGTCCTGCTGGAGCCTCTGCCACTCCCAGCCTCTGCTGATGGTGTTCCCCAGGGAGAAGGGGCTTGGAGGGCGAAGCCTGCAGGGAAACTCTCACTCCAGGGCTCAGCCCTGGCAGGTGGAGCAGGGGAAGCAGAGAGGGGGGACCTGTTCATGCCTGGATTCCCCAGGAGGAGAGAAAAGCCACTCCTCTCATTTCTGTCCATCAGCCTGTTTGCTCCAAAGCAGTGGAAGTGGAGAGGAGGAGGAGGATGGGCAGGAACCTCCTTGATTTTATTTCTTTTTTCAGCCTCTGGTTCTCAGTCCTGCCACTCCAGAGGACCCTGTTCATGGCTCGGTCAAGGGATTTCTCACCTCGCTGGGATAGTGGAAACCAAACTGGAGCCCAGACCAATGGGAATCATGGCAAGAGGGTGTGAGGCAGAGCTAGAGGGGTGATCCTGGCAGAGGGGGGATCTTGGCAGGGGCTTGGTGCAGTGTGGGGACTTTGCCATGGCTGTGCACTCAGCTGTATGAAAGGGCAAAGGAATGGAATTGGAAGGAGTGCTCTGGGGTGAGGAGGAGTGGTCATGAGGCCCCATCATTCCCATCCCAGCTTGGGCTCCTGCTCGGATTGGGCAGTGCTGCAGAGGTTTGTCCTCCCCATCCTGCCTCACACCAAACAGCACCACACCACAGGAACAGGCTCAGGGGAAACCAAGGAACCCCTCACTGACTTGAAGGAAATCCCAGAGCTGGAGGAGCATTGCCTCAACCATGTCCAAGGCCTGAGGTGGGATCAGCTGGGTCAGGGCTCCTCCTTCCATGGGCTTCACGGCCTTAGCAGAACAATTAGAGCTGGACCAGTGGTGAAATCCCTCTGTGTGGGAGAGCAGAGGATGAGCAACTGCCCAGCCAGGCCTCAGGAGGGGGATGAGCTGCCTGCCTGGGTAAGCTGAGCCTACAGCACCCCCCCTGCCTGTCCCTGTGCTGTGGCAGCCACACAGTGCTCGTTAAACAAGAGGGAAGAGCTCGATTTTTCTCCCAACATCTTTACTATAGTGTAATCAAAATCCATTTAAGTTCTGATTAAAAGGTTTAACTAACCCAAAAACCCCACACCTGTCAGCAGAACAGAGCTATCCATCCCTAAACTCTCCCACAGAAGCGCCTGTACGTGGTATGTGCAGAGTATCCCTGGTCCCACCTGTGCAGGGACCTGCTGCCACTGGCACTGCTGCCACTGGCATTGCCCTGCTGGCATTGCCATCATCCTGCTGGCATTGCCATTGCTCTGCCCAGCACTTCTGTCTGAAGAAACAGAGCTGTCATGAGCCTAAAGCCAGTCTGATTCCTAAGGCAGGGCTTGTTCCTGGCCAGTCTGTGTTTCACATCACCAGGCTGCATTTCACATCAGGGCTGTGGTGGGAAGGAAGTCACCTTAGCTGGGGTTAATGGTGACATTTAAAGCAAACACTATGTCACACTTTGCTCCGGCTGAACGTTCACGTGAGAGAAGGAGAAAATGTACCAGTGGTTTTTAAGCAGTGATCAAACTTCCTCTCAAACTTCACTCACAAACACACAGTTTCAATGAAACTGTCAGTCATTCAGTGCTCTTTCATAACACTTTACTTTAAACCAGAAAACACTGTAAGGAGGAGGATTGATTCCAAGAGTTGTGAAGTTCTCATGAATTTCCCCGGTGCCAGAGGTTAAATAACACTGTGGATGGGAGAGGTGCTGCTGCTTCTCCCTGCCCTGAGTGAGCACAGAGCAGGGCCCCAGCTCTGCTGCTCCCCCCAAGCAGCACAACCAGCACCTCCCCTGCCCCGGGAATGCAGGGAGTATATTCTGTCACCTCCAGCATCCAGCAGCACAGGGATCCTCTTGTATTTGGCTTGCTGAGACAGTAAATGGGGAGTTAGAGCATTCCTGGTTTGAGGCCTTGGCGTGCGTAAGGGCTGGAGGTGCCAACTGGGAGTCAAAGGCAACAGACTCTTGCAGCAACTGCTAATGGAAAATGGTGAGCCAGATGCAAAGGTGATGGGCACACTGTTCTCATCCAGGAACAAAAACCAGCAGCCCATGTGAGGTTTGGATTGCTCTGAACATGTTTATCCTGCACTCAAAAGCTCCTGAGCCAGCTGGAAAGCCCCATGGCCTCCTGTCATGTGGGGGATCCAGACCCATCCCATCTGTGTTCAGAGCACACTCACCCTGCAGAGCCTCAGTGCTGCACACAGAGCTGTTCCCAACACGTGGGCACTGCCAGGCT